TTGATCATTCTGGAAGAGTCTTTGCGGTGCAGCGTAAACTCATTCAGGGCATAAGGTGCACCATCAAATAAAGGCACACTTGAATCCAGGTGAATGAGGGATCTCTTTTCCAGCGCATAAGATCCGCGCACCAGCGAAAGAATCGCGTTGTCAACATCTTCCACCGGGATAGCCGCCAGAAAGCCCAGCCGGCCCAGGTTAATCCCGATCAGGGGAATATTGGTATTCCCTACAAATGAGATTGTATCCAGCATGGTACCGTCTCCGCCAAGCGAGAAAAGCATGTCGGTATGAGGTGGCAGGTCTTTCTGGCCGGTAAACAGGCGGGGCGTCTCCCGGAAAGTAATATGTTGTTGCAGGCGCTCAAAAAAATCCTTATAAAATACCATTTGAATCCGGTGCTTCTCCATCATCTGCAGGATATGTTGCAGGGTCATGACATCGCCTTCATCAAAAGTGCGGTTGTATATGGCTATTAGCATAATGCTGTGGTGGATGTAATGCTGAAAACTGATAAACAGGTTAAATTATTTACGCAGCTCCGGATATACATCGTTCAATTTTATTCGCTGTTCAGGTGTAAAAATAGACCATTCTCGCCTAAATGATTGCGGGCAAACTCAAGCCGGATCTTTACGTCATAAGTTGTCACTATATCCAGCCCGATACCAGCGCTGTACAGCATTTTGTTACTCAGGAAACTATTACCCGGAAAACGGTCGTGCATATAACCTACGTCTGCAAATACTTTAGGGTACACACGCAAGGGGATGGATGGAAGATAATGAAAGGGTAATTCCAGGAGTGTTGTATTGAGCAGCTCCCGCTTCAGGTTAAACCGCAGCACGCCATAGTGATCGCCATCCATCACATAATATTCATATCCCCGCAGGTAATCGGTTTTGGTGCCCAGGGCAGCTCTGAAAAAATAAGGTTGTTCATCGGGCAGGCTCAGGCGGCCACGAAAAATAACGGAGGTATACCATTTAGGCAAGGGGTTCTGAAAAAGCCCCATCTCCGTGCGTACCTGCGCCTGTACATCCAACCCCTTAAACCCGGTTCGCGCCAGCACATAACCCACCATTTTAAAACCCTTCAGCGGGTAGTTCCAGTTATCGGCATAATTGAGGTCGAGGCGGTACAGCAGCTCTGCATAGCGCAATTGGTCGCTCCTTCCGTTGAAATAATCTTTGTTGAGCTGCAAGACGGTATCGGCTACAGTGGCGGTATGATAAGAGGCCTGTATCAGGTGCCTTACGGGGAATGCCGGACGGTAGGTATAAAAAACAGCCGCGTCAAACATCCTTATAATACGGTTGCCGGGCAGCCTTACGAACTTCAGTTTATTGCGGTCGGTATTATAATAAACCTCTCCGCTTTGCGATACATTTACAAAACCGCCGATCCCATGCTGTTGCCGCTTATCCAGGTACGGACGCACATACTCCACGGCAAAACGTTGGGTATAGCCCACCTGCGCTGTCACACTAATACGTTCGGTATTGCCGCGAAAGTTCATATCGGTCAGCGTCAGCCCGAAATTGGCGCGGCGCGGGTCCCGGTTCTGCTCCGTCCACCAGACATTAAAGTTGCGGTCGGCTAGCTGGAAAAGAGGTTTAGGAATAATGAACCAGCGCTCTCTGAGATTTACCTCCCAATCAATAGTATCTGCGGTCACAGCTACCGGTTCAATATTGATGGTGGTAAATAATGCGGCATTGGCCAGCCTTAATTTATTCTCAGCAAGGAGCTGAGCGGCAGAATCCCTACTATAGCTGCGTCCTTCCTGTGCACTCATCTCCCGGAGTATAACAGCACGCCTGGTGGTCCTGGTGCCGGAGATATGAATATGCCGCAGGTAATAACGCCCCTGATTATTTACCATTGTATCCACAGTCTGCGCCTGCACCAATGCGGTGCCGGTGAGCAGAAGAAGAAACAAAAGAAACAAGCGCATAGGAGATAAAAAGTTGGCAAAGATACCATTGTGGCGCATTTAACCGTGCGGCAGGCCTGTCGTGGCTAACTAACCCGTCCCCAATTCCGTCTTCTTCCTTAACTTTAAAGATATGATTTCTTACGCCAGGAGGCTTTTATTGCCCGTACTAAGCCTTGCGTTTATAGCGCTCGTTGTGAATAGCTGTAAGCACAAGCCCAATACAGTCACAGAAGTAGACAGTGGTTATCCGGATGCTGTTGCCAAGATTATCGTTAACAAATGTATTAGCTGCCACAATGCAACGAATGCCAGCGGAGCCGCTAATCTCCGCCTGGACAACTGGGACCGTTTGTTCTATGGCGGCAGCCACGGCGCCGTGGTGATCCCTTATGATATTGCCAATAGTTCCCTGCTCTATTATATCAATACCGACTCTTCATTAGGCATTGTTGCCAGCCCCACCATGCCCTTTGACCCGATTGCCGGCAACCCCCAGGGACACCTGAGCAAGGAAGAATACCTGACTATCAGGGATTGGATTGCTGCGGGCGCACCCAATAATAAGGGCGAGATTCCTTTCGCTTCCAATCCGGACACACGTCAAAAATTTTACCTGACAGAGCAGGGATGTGATATCCTAACGGTTATTGATGCGGAACGCAAGGTGATCATGAGAAACATTAAGATCGGTGAAGAAGCGGCTATTGAAATTCCCCACTGCGTAAGAGTGTCTAATGATGGTGCCTATGCCTATGTATCCTTCACGGGCGGTAAATATGTGCAGAAGATTGATACCCGCACAGACCAGGTGGTAGGCCGGGTAAGGCTGGAAAGCAACCGGAGCGCAGAATGGAATGTGCTGCATATTTCAGACGATGGCAGCAAGGTTGCCGTATCGGACCTGAAAGGAGGCATGATCAATTTTATCAATACCGCCGATATGACGATAATGGGTAA